TCTGCTTTGAAATACATTTCGCCACGCTCATGCATTGAAATTCGAGGGCGCGGAAATGCATTTCAATACATATTTTCGCTACATGAATACCCTCATTAATTTTTTAAAACTCATCACTATGGTTGTTGTATTTTCTTGAAACATTTAGAAACCCAATATCTGGTAACCCTTAATCAAAAATGCTGTCCTTTTTGCTTTTCTCCCCGCTGATTTGGGGAGATTTGCACCGCTTCTGTATTTTTTCCTGTCGTCCCTCCAAACCTTCTTGTAAAGAAGTTCTTTTACATGTTCAGGACCCCCTATTTGCCAATTAAAACATCTGTATCTTGTATTATGATCACACGAAAATCGTCTCGATTTCAATCCGTTCAATAGACAATTGGTGTTGAACTTCATGGAGAAACACACTCGGAGTTTCTTTTGATAGCAATTAAACTCATTAGCACAGTGAGGCATGAAATAGGCTTGTCGCTCCCCTTTCGGTGTCGGCAAAAAGGTCAGTACAAAGTGAAACCGTGACCCTAATAAGGGAGAGGAATGGAACCTGGTTTCGGTTTATCTAATCGAAAGTCGCCAAATTCTCGAGACAGGTGGTTTCGGCTGGGGATGGATGGACAAGTTCAATTGAATTAGTGGTAGGGTGTGCTACGGATATGTAACGTGATCTTCATCAACTCCATAGAGATCCAGGAGGTCTGGTTTAATGGTTTTGCCCTAACAAATGTTCAGTGACGCGGAAAAAGGACATTTTTAGGTTAGTAATAGATCTCAATCAAAGAGAATGAAACCGAGAAGTCGAGTTTTGAGTTTTGAGCTTGATTATTCGCTAATAACCGTGAAAAAATATGAAAAAAGTTGAGAGCACAAAGAATTCAAAAGTCCGAATAGTACCAGGATTACTGTAGAAAATGAACAGAGCTAAACACAGTTTCTCTAATAGAAGCCCACCCAAACCGTCAACGTTGAGCTCAATTATCTCTATTCCTATGAAAGTTATCACAAAATTTTTAAAGGTGGTGTGCGGTGGAAAATTTTATTGCTTTATTTTGTGCAGAAATCCATGTAGATTCACATAAAAATAAAGAAAAAATTGAAAAAAAATTCCTTCATTGAGAAAAACGGCATCGAAAAGTCAAAGTTGTAGGCCAACTGCCGGTAAAAGCGCGCGAAATTTGAATTTTTATTGATTTTCAGTGTTTTCTCTGATGTTTTTTGA